AGATTTAAGGTCTTCAGTAGAAACCAACTGCACTGAGACACAGACATTGTGGAGAAGTCCGAAAACATAGTTTTTTTCTTTTTCGATGGTTTTCTTGACAATAAATAGAAAAATATATACACAAGGCATATTCTGTAAGGGGTGACTTAAGTGTTTTTTATCCTGGACCCTATTTTCCTATGTTTTTGTGTCTAAGTGATTAATGGAGACAACCATATTTGAAATAAGTCCAGTATTGAGTGAGAGGGTGGCAGCCAGCAGCCGCAAAACAAACTTCACTGTAACCACTTGGGTCATTTGTGCATCGTCAATTTACGTCCACTAAAAGTGCTCGTTTTTGCCACTGACAGGCTCAGATTGTTATTATAGGTGTCTGACAACATTATGGAAAGCGTCCCTACAGAGATTGATATTTTTGTTGAAGATTAAGATCCAGAAACATCTTTAAAATTGCAATCAGCAAACACATCAGACTCCATTTAAATAAACAGTTATTTCATTATCATAAAAAACACTTCAAAGTTGACAGAAACAAAGTAAAACTCACAAATGCCATCTTGGTTCATCTTTCCACTGTTCCAACAATCACCATCTCTGCTTTGGTTGAAATACACCCTTAATCCATTTAGTTAGATGTGAAAATATGCTGCCTCTATCCACACTAAAATTACTTTTTATTTAAATGGAGTCTGGTGGGTTTGATAATAGCAATTTTGGGGCTGTTTATGGTTAAATAAAAATGATTGTCCTTTGTGTTTACCACTTAGAATAATAATCAGAGCCCGTCAGTAGCAAAAATAAACACTTTTAGTGAATGTAAGTTTGGGGGTGCAAAAGTGCCCTGAGTTTTTACATTGCAGCCTGTTTTGCGGTTGCCAACTGCTACAGTCTCTCTTGATACTGGACTGATTTCAAAAATTGTTTTTCCCATTAGTGCCTTGGACACAAAACCATGTGAAAATAGGGTCTAAGTTGAAAAATACATAAGTTACCCTTTAATAATGGCTAACTGATGATACTATTTTTGTGCTTTAACGCTGCAACTGATGATTATTACTATCATAGATTAATTTGTTTATTATATTCTTGTTTAATCAGATTATTTGTTTGGTCCATAAATTGTCAGAAAATAGTCAAATGCCCTCATAAGTTCTTGGAGGCAAACGTGATTTCTTTAAATGTCTTGTTTTTTTGTTTCTTTTTTTTGCAACAAACACTCCAAACCCAAAAGATATTAGGTTTACTACCAGAGATGACTAAGTAAACCAAAACATATTAACATTCGACAAGCTTTTTTTCCATTAAAAATTACTTGAAACAATTAATCATTTTTCAAAATAGCCGCTGATTAATATTCTGATCATTCATACAACAAATTGTTGCAGCTGTAGCGTGGTTTTCCTCTGATAGCTTGAACGTGGTCCGGATACACAAAAACTCATGCTGCTCTCACTGGATCATAACTGTACAGGACAGAGAAAAGAGAGGGAGGACAGGAAATGTAAATCCAGACACAGATTTAAGTGTATGCTGTCATGGCATCCATTTTAAATTGTGTCTAAGTATACAGTGAGAAAATTTAAATGATTTCTTTTTATATTTTTCTTCCATGAACCAGCATTTTCAACCGAAAAAGCAGATCATTAATGAAAGTATGAAAAGGTTGAGAGTGTGTGCAGAGATGATACTGTACATGCACACGTGTGTATTTGTTGAATTAGTTGTACATGCATCTGTAAAAGAGTGTGGCAAAACAGACTTTGATTCATATGAAAATTTTACAGATGATTACTTTATGGAACACTCTATAAACGTCGTCTTTTTGTCGATCAGAGTCCCAGTCAGAGGTTAGTTACTATCTCTGACTGCATGAGCTGGATGAATCAATTTATGAATGATTTTCTGAGTGTGGGTGCTGGAAAGAACCTCTTCATATGCAAATAAGCAATTAGGTTGAGTCGTCCGTTGTTCGTCGCCAGCCTCTATCCTCCCATTTCTCTCTAATTCTCCCGTGCCGTTTTACCACCAAACTGCTTTCAACCAGCACTTCCTCCCTCTTCATCCTCCTTCATCTCGTTTTCTCTCCTCTTCCCCTTCATCCCACCTCAGCCCTCCCCCCACCTCTCTCTCATATCCCCTGTGGTGTTGACCATGTGTGAATGGGATTGAATGATGGGTGGGAATGAAGCTACATGCAGTGTACACACACACACACACACACAGATGGATGTGTGTGTGTGTTTGTGGAGGACTTGTACAAAGGAGGATGAGTCACTCTCTGCCTGACACACGGCACGCTCGTAGGAGACTGCATCCTCGTCAATACAACACAAATACACACTCACACACCGACCAACTGACACACACTGATATAAACAATCTAGATGGAGACGGTGTTTACTTACATGCATGATTGATAGTGTTCATGTATCAGTTTAATGAGCTTGGTTGATGTGTGTGTACACGTGATGACTGTATTTCATTGGCTGTGTGTGTTTTTGTATTCAAAGTGGTGTGTCCATCTGTGTATGTGTGTGTGTGCTGGGTGCGATAAGGCTTTTCATTGGTGTTTCCCGCTCATACCCTGAAGGCTACAGCTCTGTCCTGCGTCATCTGTCATCTCTGTCCTGCAGTGTTTTCTGCTTTTGATGTATATTCATTAGGGCTGGGCGATATGGGTAAAATATGCTTTCACAATAAAAACATTTCAATGAGTTGATATCAGTAGTGGTCATAATGAAAAGGTAAAATTATTGTTTCTTTCAAGTCTAAAGGCTGATTTTTGCTCCTGAGAGAAAGTTGAGGAAACCATTGTAGTTTAAACTGTTATTTATTGTCTGTGCACAACAACATCTGCCAAACAGCAGAATTCCCAAATCCAAGGTAGATTCAAAACAGTTACATAATCAAAATAGGCCTACCTTTTAATATATAAAACAGTAGATCGTCAACAAAATCTTAATTCTGGTAAGCAGCATATCAAACTCCTTGTACAGATGGTTTTCAACATTTTTTATTCAGCAAACAATTATAACAGAAGAAAGAAAAATCTCAAGTTGTGGCAGTTCTTTTTGTAAAGGTTTTACACTCACATTATGTAATTTCTTCCATTTCTCAATCAAAACAGTAGCAAAAGATGGACTTTGATGATGTCTTGAAGCAACATGTGGTCATGTTTTGCTAATGAAAATCTATCTGACGTGACTAGAAAATGTATGAAAGTTTCATTCACGTCACGTTATGTCATATCTTTTTTTTTTTTTTACCTTTATTCAACCAGCAAAATAAGTTGCAGACAGACAACATGGAACAAAAATGCAGAATAAGAATGTAAAGCTTTAAAACAAGCAATATAAAACACAAAATAAGATACTGCAAAGAAAAGCAAAAAAGTATGTTAATATATACCAGAAATGAACCATAAAAACATAAAAAACAAAAAACGGCAATTATATATGAATACAAAGACCAGCTAAGACACACAGTGACATTGGCATATAGACGAGTTTGTACAAAAATCCTGCAACACTGCTTTGAAATGGCCGAGAGGAACCAATGAGTGCAACTTTAAGTCCCTCTGCAGAAGATTCCACATATAGGGAGCTGCATACATAAATGTTCGCTTGCCAAACTCTGTACAATAAAATTATGTTTTGTCAATGTTATATCACTGTAATAAAATAGCCAGTTAGTCCATCACACAGTGGCTTAAGGTAGTTATGATGGGCCCCAGTGCACACTATTATAGTGGGCCCTAGTGCATAGTCACTAGTTATGAAGCACGCACACACAGAGTTTTAGGCATAACAGTGTGTCTTACTGCCACTACTTAACTCATAGCTTATTCTATAGACAATAAGCATATCATTTTGTCATATACTGATACTATTTGACAAAAACAGGACACCATGATGGAGATGGCTTTGTCTTTTTGAGGGCTCATATAGAAAATCGTACCATTTTTTATTAAACATGAGTTCTTCTTTGAACACAGGCATATTTCCAGGTGGCAATCGGGCCCCAATGCAACCACACTTCCTGAACTGTCTATATCTACACACCTGCTGTCACGTTAACTTGCTAACTTAGCATTAGCATTGGATAAGTCGACTATAAAGCAACTATAGCCAACATTATGTGGCAAATTCAGTCGTGGGGTAGTGCTGCACTGTAATCTGTAGGCAAAACAGTCGACTGGAAATAACTGTATGAATGTGTTGAATGTTGTTGTAGCAATATAATATACGGATTAGTCGTCTTCTTCTTCTTCTGCTACTACTTCACCTTTTTCTTCTCCTGGTTAATGGCGGGTGGCATCTGGCATTTAAGGTGCATTACCGCCCCCCCTCTGCGGGCATGATTACATAGAGGATTTGTCTAACATTTATTACACCTGTATTGAGGAAAACTATATAGAGATAATTATCATTATCATTTTAATTCATGTCCACGTACAGGATGTTTACATGCTCACCTTTCTGAAAATGTGATCTGATGCAGTGCAATCACACAAGCAGATGACTGATTACTGATTCCACTCCAATACCTGTGTTTTTGGCTATTATATTTGACATTTCCACGACTGAATGATTAACATCATGATTGATAAGTTCAACCTATGCTAATCCTAATCACACATAAATGCTGCTGTTTCAATACTGCTACCTGATAACCCACAGAGATAGTGGCTGCTGCTATCTTACTGCTAACAGTTTTACAGTTTAGCCATTTGACTGATGTTCTTTTCACTTACTTTGAAATAATGGGTGCTTGTTGAAAGATACATCTTCCCATGACAAAGAAATTACATGACATAACTGGCTTTGTCCACTTCCAATTTGTTTATCTTGGGTTATTGCTCAGAAAGTAGCCCAGATATTTTTGAACTTGACTTGGACTAAGAATTTAGCAAATGTCCGGTCCTGTAGGAAACAAACAGTATTTAATTTTTTCTTGTGAATCAATAAAGATCTGAGCTGAACTGTTTTTCTCCTCCACAGGAAACTTCAGAGGTGTATGTAAGAAGATTGATCACTTCCCAGAGGACGCGGACTATGAAGCAGATGCTGCTGAATACCTCCTCCGTAAGTTTGATATGATGATATATTTTGGCTCCATTTTTAAACGTATATTCGTCATTCAAACCTGTTAACAACATTTTATTTAGTGTCACTGTCAGCTAAAAAAATGTTGCACACAGAAACCTTGCACACTGACTCCAATGCGTTTTATTTGTTGCTAAAACTGGCAATATGGCAAAGTGTGAAGACTCATTTGCACCCTTGCTTCTCTTCACTGGAGTTACCTCCCTGTCACTACTCTCTGCTGATGTCTCGCATTTGGAAGCTGAAGGGGCTGACCTGTCCTCCCTCTCTGTCTCAACACTGTCTCTCTGTCTGTATGTGGTCCACATCCTCCTCCTCATCATCATCATTATCATCATCATCATCATCATCATCATTCATCTGATTATTACTATCTGAACTCTTTAAAGTAGGCTATCTGGGTTATGAGAGGATACCATGCAACCCGTTCCTCTCTCTTGTTACAGATGTATGCAGATGCGCACCTCTCTGCCCTTCCACACGCAAACAAGAGAAGCCTGAGGCAAAGAGAGCAAACTTTCCTGCCCTTCCATGTGCCTACATGGAAAGGGGGGTAGGGAGAACAGCAGCAAAGACCCCCCAGGAACAAAACAGAGCAGCATCAATGACAAACAGAAATGACATTGATAAGTCAGACACAGCATGAAAAGGAGGAGCTGGGATGGAGTTGGGTTACAAAATGACTTGCAGAGGAAGCAGCAACAGTAGGCAGGCCAGAGCAGTTAAATAGGGTGCCCTGAATGAAATTCACCAATTGGTTGCATAGAAAGGAATCATGTCATCTATCAGCGGACTTCTTTCCATCAATCAGCTGATCCATCAGTTGATTGGGCTGTTTGAGATCAGCTGATGTAGCTGGGATGTGAGCTAAGCTCGACATTGTCCTCACCATGTGATCATGCATGTAGAAGATATAAAAACAAAGAAACAGCATTTTTCTTGTATTGCAGCACACAGCTATTCATCCACAGTGTTATTAGTATGATAAGGGGAAATGTGAGTTCAGGCTGTTATTACATTCCAGACAGATGAACAGGGAGGGTATAATGTGGAGAACAAGAGATATAAACAGATGCCACTGTTTTATCAGCTAATACATGAGAAAAACGAGGAAAAGAAACATCGCTTTGATGAGAAAATGACAAACGAGAAAGGCGGGAGCACCTTGTTATTTCCAGAAAGAGTAATAGCACAGAAGTAAAAAAGGATGCAGAGGGTGGCTTAGTTGAACACAGAGAGGAGGGGGCTCTCTCTGTTCTCTGTTCTGTTCTTTCCTACAATAAACACAGTGAAGATGGACGGAGAGAGAAAACAGCAACAACAACAAAAAAAAGAAAAAGTAAAATGGATTCAGCCCGTGCTTCTTTTTCATTGCTCCACTGAACAGAGCAACATCCCCAAAGGCAACCAATTAGATCACAGGCCTCAGAGCTGGCTGGCCAATGGGGAGCGGGGACCTAGTGACCGGCATTTCATACAGCCCAGGGGTGTGGGCCACAGGGGTGGGGCTTATACACTCAAGTGCACAACACCACTGGTCACTGCAGCTGTCAGTCACGCTGGGAATGTTTAGGAACGCAAAAAGACTGAAACATAAGATACAAAAACACAAATACAAACACACTACTCGCTGGATGATTTCATTCTTTTTTTGTAATGATACACCTGTGATGTATCAGCTTTTTAACAGACACCGCACAGCTCAGTTCTGCTTGACAAGCTGTTTGCACATATCCTTCAATATGTTGTCGCACCACATCCACATATGGGGTTCTGACAAATATTTCACTCCTACTGCAGCCTCGCTTCCATTTTCATCATCGCTGCTATTCATTATTTTTGCCTTGCATATGTGTCAGTGCGACTCTCCATCTGTCTTGGTTTTTGTCCATCTTTTCCCTCTACATCCATCTCTCCCTCTCTCTCTGTCTCTCTGTGAAGCAAGGCCTCTGAATGCTTTAACATGTTCTGGATTCAGACTCAGTCAAGCATGCAGCAGCACACTGGCCCATGTGTTTGTGTGTGTCTCATGCGTGCATGTGTGTGTGTTCAAAGTGACACATTTTTCGTTGTTTTATCTCTGCCCTTCAGCAAAATGGATTTCAAATGAAAAAATGACAATGAAAGCTGACTTTCATCTTTAAAGGTTCTAGTGATTAGGAACATCAGTGTAGCAGTAACCAATATTTGCTGTGTAAAGATATAGTGGAATAATGGCGTCTTGAGCACGAAGAGAATGACGTCACACACTGTTCTTTGTGTTAGCCGCCAGGCCAGCCACGTGTGCCTGTTAGTACATATGAGTCCCTCCCTTCATGTGTCATGGTAATCCTAAGTGCTATATTGTCGGCAGTTGGAATTGTTTCACAAAACATCTTCAAGAAACCCAAGCAAGTCCAGTTGCCAACAACAAAGCACTTCGGAGCTCTATGTATTCCTATTGAAGCAGCTCAGTGGTTCATGCAGCCAAAAAAGTTAGACTTCAGGGTATTGTGGGGCCCATAGAGGGCAAAAAAAAAATTATGCAGTGATTTACAGACGTCTCTTTCCCGATGTAAGTCTATGGAAAAAAGTCTTTCTGGGCCCCATGGCATCACATGAACGACCTGGAAGTTGTACAGCAAGGTTTCTCATACACATTTATTTTTTGCCGCACGCCACCATATCATACTTTCTATTTTTAGAGCTGGACCGTTTATTCAGAGCACTGTTGGAATGTATACTGTTTGGTTATTCAGAGCACCACACTCTTGGAGTGCAGAGCATACTCTGGGCAGGTGCAGTGAAAGTGAAACTTTACTGTTCATTAATTTATATAAAAATACATCATGTAAGCCACTTTTACACTGCCTGTTCAATGCGGGAATATTGAGCTATTATGCTGCCTTGATGTGTTGCAAATGAGGCATGATCAAGGGAAGGGGGGACAGAGTTGTCTCACCTCTGTCCCACCTCTGGAGGTTGTAACAGCCCCAAAATGAGGTCTGTGTAAAACATAAAGCCAGACAGACGTGACCATGGGTGAAGCGGGTGTGATGTTTTGATTACGTATTACACTGAACAAAAATATAAACGCAACACTTTTGTTTTTGCTCCCATTTTTCATGAGCTGAACTCAAAGATCTAAAACATTTTCTATATACACAAAAGACCATTTCCCCTCAAATATTGTTCACAAATCTGTCTAAATCTGTGTTAGTGAGCACTTCTCCTTTGCCAAGATAATCCATCCCACCTCACAGGTGTGGCATATCAAGATGCTGATTAGACAGCATGATTATTGCACAAGTGTGCCTTAGGCTGGCCACAATAAAAGGCCACTCTGAAATGTTCAGTTTTATCACACAGCACAATACCACAGATGTCACAAGTTTTGAGGGAGCGTGCAATTGGCATGCTGACTGCAGGAATGTCCACCAGAGCTGTTGCCCGTGAATTGAATGTTCATTTCTCTACCATAAGCCGTCTCCAAAGGCGTTTCAGACAATTTGGCAGTACATCCAACCGGCCTCACAACCGCAGACCACGTGTAACCACACCAGCCCAGGACCTCCACATCCAGCATGTTCACCTCCAAGATCGTCTGAGACCAGCCACCCGGACAGCTGCTGCAACAATCGGTTTGCATAACCAAAGAATTTCTGCACAAACTGTCAGAAACCGTCTCAGGGAAGCTCATCTGCATGCTCGTCGTCCTCATCGGGGTCTCGACCTGACTGCAGTTCGTCGTCGTAACCGACTTGAGTGGGCAAATGCTCACATTCGATGGCGTCTGGCACGTTGGAGAGGTGTTCTCTTCACGGATGAATCCCGGTTTTCACTGTTCAGGGCAGATGGCAGACAGCGTGTGTGGCGTCGTGTGGGTGAGCGGTTTGCTGATGTCAACGTTGTGGATCGAGTGGCCCATGGTGGCGGTGGGGTTATGGTATGGGCAGGCGTATGTTATGGACAACGAACACAGGTGCATTTTATTGATGGCATTTTGAATGCACAGAGATACCGTGACGAGATCCTGAGGCCCATTGTTGTGCCATTCATCCACGACCATCACCTCATGTTGCAGCATGATAATGCACGGCCCCATGTTGCAAGGATCTGTACACAATTCCTGGAAGCTGAAAACATCCCAGTTCTTGCATGGCCAGCATACTCACCGGACATGTCACCCATTGAGCATGTTTGGGATGCTCTGGATCGGCGTATACGACAGCGTGTTCCAGTTCCTGCCAATATCCAGCAACTTCGCACAGCCATTGAAGAGGAGTGGACCAACATTCCACAGGCCACAATCAACAACCTGATCAACTCTATGCGAAGGAGATGTGTTGCACTGCGTGAGGCAAATGGTGGTCACACCAGATACTGACTGGTTTTCTGACCCCCCCAGACCCCCCCAATAAAGCAAAACTGCACATTTCAGAGTGGCCTTTTATTGTGGCCAGCCTAAGGCACACCTGTGCAATAATCATGCTGTCTAATCAGCATCTTGATATGCCACACCTGTGAGGTGGGATGGATTATCTCGGCAAAGAAGAAGTGCTCACTAACACAGATTTAGACAGATTTGTGAACAATATTTGAGGGGAAATGGTCTTTTGTGTATGTAGAAAATGTTTTAGATCTTTGAGTTCAGCTCATGAAAAATGGGAGCAAAAACAAAAGTGTTGTGTTTATATTTTTGTTCAGTGTATGTTGGTCACCCACTATAGGAGATTTAAAAAGCAGCTGTTAGCAGTTAGCAGCTAACTCAAGGAGGAAGAAAAGCGGCCGTAAATGTTGAAAATTGGGAAATCAAACTTACCCTCTGAGCAGAGGACGAGATCTTGTAGTTTATAAAACGCTGCTGATACATATATTATATTTCACACTAGAGGCCAATGCTGTTGTGTTACATGTCACGTCTGTCATGCCTCTTAATTGCGGGACACCAGGATAGAGTGCATATTCACATACTGGAGTGGAATGATGCTGCCGTCATTTTGTTATTAAACCTCCATGTTTACTTGTGACATCAGAGGTGAGAGCCGTGTGCAGGCAATCCTGGCCCAGGCTCTGAATGCCATCTAGTACTTTTGTTTAGGGTGTTCACATCCATACTGGGGAACTGTGTGGTGAACCATTGTATGTGGGGTTGTTTTCTCGCTTTATTGTTCTTTCTGCAAATTTTACTGATGTATTTCCACCTCCACTTTCCATTTCTAACCATAGAAGCAACCATCTGCAACGTTAAGGCATGTAGTCCCTCTGAATGGTACCATAAAGCCGACCAGCAGATTTACTACTAAATGGGAGCAGAGACTGGCCGTATTTTAAGTGACCTTGTTTTTGTACTTTAACTACAGCATATATCAATATCTCAAAATGAATCTATTCATCACAGGCAGCATCTTGAATTTAAAGGTTGGTACATTGCAGCAAGTAGATCTTTACATTATTTTAGCATCACAGGAGAAAACATTACTACAAAACATGGTGTGAGTAGGAGATAAAATATAAATCAATGCAAATAAGAGCAGATACAAAACTAAAGGGACCGAGTCAACAATAAAATGAAACTGTCACATTGACAGGAGGTTCTTAGTTCCCTCTTCCATCTGCACCTCCAGCACAAATTATCCCTCCTCAGTTTCATCCTGTAGCGTCTAAAAGGAAACATCTCTACACTGAGAAAAAAATGTTCCAACGTTTCAGTTATAAACTTGTTTCCACTCTTCTTTGTGTGTGTGTGTACAGGTGCTGTGCGTGCCTCCAGTATCTTCCCCATCATGAGCGTGGGCCTGCTGTTCCTCGGGGGCCTCTGTGTGGCCGCTAGTGAGTTTTACCGGAGCCGACACAACGTCATCCTCAGTGCAGGAATCTTCTTTGTCTCTGCAGGTTGGTCTGCACTGTGTGTGTCTGTCTTTTTGTTACAACCAGAGTGTCTGTCCTCCTCTCCTTTTAGAGTGGTTATCAGTCATCATCAGTGCACCGGTAGACATAAAGTTGGTCCTGCATTTAGAGCAGGAAGCTGCTGTTCTTCGCTGAAGGACACATTTTATCATATTGATTATACCTAGCAAACATTGGTCTGATGGTGACGTTGTGTCCCTGGCCAGAAATGATCACAATGGGACGCCAGAAACTGCAAGGTGGTTATGAGGCAGACGGCTAGATGGTGATGTTGTTTCCGCGTCCAATAATCTTACAGTTAGATCCACTCTTACGAACCAGGACACTGATGCACTGATGCTCATCTCCATGACAACACTGTTAAACACAATATAGCAGCCATCTTAACTGCAGTACCAGCCAAATGACTTCAAATAATACCCTGACCTGATAGGAGGAGCTTAGTTAAAATATGTCCGATAACAAGGTGTTTCCATCACTCTAATTTCAAATACAAGGATTCTGCATGTGTTAGCAACATGGGGCTGTATGTGTGTGTATGTGTCTATGAGTGTGTGTAGTTACTGTGGAGCCACTCTGAACAGAGGAGGTGCCGCACTCAAATATTTGTGGAAGGAGCCCGTTAGGCATCTAAAGCACACAGAAGTGCCTGTGTGAGGAGGCAGAGTGCGGAGATAGGGCGCAGCAGCTGATTAATCAATCAACAAGAATACCACGATGCCGCTGTGATGCACTGCGAGGGCGTGAGAGTGTCAACACACATACATGCTCTCACACATAATCTATCACATGGATGCTGACACTTGGTCTCCTGTAAACACACACACACTTGTGCTCTTGCCCCTGACGTACACAAAGGGTTGTGCAGTAATTGCTGTTCAGTGGGATGTGTAGGGTCCCTTTGGGTTTTTAGTAAATTTATGGAGCCAAATTGGTAATTATTTACCACAATAGTGTGGGGCTGATTCTGGTTAATTACAGCTGGCTAATTGTCCCCATTCTGTGCGTTCCACTACACTGCATGAGCACTGTATTCTGGACTAATGATATGGAATAAGAGAGCCCAGCTGTGTGCAATGACTCTCCAAGGCTCCTATCAAGCTCTCTCCCTGATGCTCTCCTCCCGTTACTTTGCTTTATTTCTTTTGGCTGCCTCCCCGTCGTCCTCTTCTCTACTCGTGTCTCTCAAATCTTTGCTCACATTGGCATTTTTTCCTCCTCAGATTTTCATTCACTGATCTGCCACTCTGTCGTATCTAACTTTCTCAGTTGGTCCAGCACTTTGGTTCAGACTGAAATATCTCAGTAGCTATTCAATGAGTTGATATGAATTTAGGTGCAGACTAGCAACTTTGGATCACCATTATCAGCTCAGTTTTAATTTGTACAATGCTTTGGTTCATGATCAAATACCTGCAAAATGAATGACATTAGCTGCTAACACACAAACCAAGATGTTGGACATTGTGAACCAGTGTTGTGCACTTTCACACTTCAGAGCTAGCTCAAAGTTCAGATCACATAGATTAAGGGTGTTTTCACACTTGATCCTTTTCAGCCCTCAAAATGGACTCAGAGCGGTGACTCAGCATTTTTTGTGCATATGTGAACACTCCAACAGAGCTTGTTTGCTTCAAGCCCACGGTGCGCTTCACTTACCCAGTACCTTGAGAAACACAAAGCACTCCAGGTTCGCTTTGCTCTTTGCCACTGTATTTAGCCCTCTAGATCACATGCTATTGCACCGGGACACTCTACGGTACGCTGCATGCCATAAAACACAGAGCAGGGGTGTCATTAACTGTCATGAGAGTTAACGACGTTCATGTTCTATAGTTGAAAACATACATTCACTTCACCAAGGACATGAGCTCCTTTGAGCACATTCATGGCAGACACTCTCGCAATCATGGTGAACGCCATCATGTTAGCATTGTCATTGTGAGTATGTTGGCATTTAGCTCTAGCACCACTGTGTCAAAGTCACGGAGCTGCTAGGTTAACTATAATCTTGTGCTGTTATGGATACTTGTGCATTAACTGTATATTTGTGCTTCGTTTTCATTCACCAACAGATCTCTCTCACGCTCACACCTTTTCTTCTCCCACCTCTTATTATTCTTCTCTCTCTGTCCTTCCCTTCCAGGTCTCAGTAACATCATAGGAATTATTGTCTATATCTCAGCCAACTCGGGTGACCCGGGCCAGAGTGACAGCAAAAAGTCCTACTCCTACGGCTGGTCCTTCTACTTCGGCGCCCTCTCCTTCATCATGGCAGAGATGGTGGGCGTGCTGGCCGTGCACATGTTCATCGAGAAGCACCGCAAGCTACGGGCCAAGTCCCGCACCGAGCTCATCAAAAAGTCCGCCTTCAGCCGCATCCCTTCCTATCGCTACCGCTTCCGGCGTCGCTCCAGCGTGCGTTCCTCCGAGGCCCCCAGCCGCGATGCCTCACCGCTGGGTAAAGGTGGCTACACAGGGCCCGCTGCCTCCGAGATGCCCATGTACACGCTGAACCCCCGCGAGGCAGGCAACGCCGGCACCAAACCTGGCAGCGGCATGGGCGGGCTGCTCAACTCAGAGAGGGAGTTCCTTCAGAGCAGCACGCTCACTAAAGACTACAGCAAGGACCCCAACCGCAGGACCACGCCTGTCTGAGAGGTGCTGGCTGCAGATATCGCCCAATCAGAGTATCAAAGAGAAGGATGATGAGAAATACAGGGGGAAAGAAAACGCAGGGGACACACAGGGTTACAGGGGTGGGAGCGGGGTTTGATAAACTTTGACTGTGAACTGTGAACTTTTAGCCTTTGAACTGTGAATCCTGAGCCCTGTGAGAGTTTCGATGTGTGTAGCAGGGTCGGATTTGATGGAGAAGTTGTTCCCAACTCCACTTTACCACATATCACTGTAGTTATACCTGTAACTCCTTACATATGAAGGCACATTCAATTTATGTTCATGAGTTCATAAATTGACTCTCTGGCTTTTTTTCGAGGGGGAAACGGGATTGACGGGAGTTTAAAAGCATATCGTAAGTGGTCTGCTGTTTGGGGCAACTTCTCCTACATAATGAAAATAATGTGAACTTTAAAGGAGAAGGGGAAAGAGGTGAGATCTTTGACCTTTTGACCTCTGTCCTCCTGACCTTTTGGATAGCAGTTGGATTAGTGCAGGGAACAGCCTTAGAGCTCCGAGCTGTCTCTCTCATGACCATACTATTTAAAAGTGCGGAAGTTAACACCTCAGGAACAGGATCGATTCATTTTCAGTTCAGCTGGATTCAAAACATTCATCGAAGATGCAGTTTTGTCCGCTCATGGCAGCACATTTGTGGCACCAGTTATTATTTTCTACACATATTGTATATATATACTCCTTTCATACTGATTGATGGAAAAGTTCACCTCATCACTGACTGAACTGAAACTGAATTGAGCTCATTCCTGGTAACATTTTCCCCCATCTCTCTGATCCCAGGTCAGCTGTTAAACCTGCGTTGTGGTTTTTTGATGAAAGGGAACAAATACACTGACTACAGATCAGCCGTTAGGGGGGGAGAGGTGTGACTCAACAAAACTAATGAATCTCTTTTAGATGGTAGATCATTGGTGCTTCCTTTTAACCCCCGTTTTTAGCCACACAAGTCATCTCTTGATTTATTTTTTTCACCAAAAACTTAAAGAGATGATCGAATATTTGTCTGTCTGTCACCGTCACTTCTCACCTTCCACGTTTTCTCTGTGTAGCCCCATAACTCACTTCACCGCCACCCTCTGCACACCTCCTCTCACCCTCTCTTTCTCTTTTAGGTCCTGTCTTCCGTCGGTGTCGCTCGTAGACTAGTTAGGGTTTCTGGAGGTCGTTGGTTCAGGGTGCTGTGGAGAGGAGACCGCTGAGCTGTGAACATGCTTTAAGGCAGAGCCAAAAAGACATTTAACAAAACAGATGGACTTTTTTTTTTGTTTGCCCACTACCTCTTGGTGAATATATTTCAGATGAGTTTAATATAAAGTTGTCTTTTCTTGCCAGAACAATTGTCGACGATTTCAGCTGCAGAAATAAACGCTGAGAAAATGCTCCCTTCACTCTAAAGTTCACATCTCTCTACTCCAGCAGAGGAGCTGCTGAAATTGAATTTGTATGTGGCACACAATTTAAAGATAAATAGATGGAATTGGCAGAAGTCCCATGTATTATTCAGAGGATTTGTGCTCCATCCATTCAGCTGTCACTCACGGCCTCTCCTCCTCTTTATCTCCCTTACATGTGCACATACTGTATACAACTACACAAACACAAGCCTACACACACACATCTCCTGGCTGTGACATGCACAGACAGTCACCGTCCTATCATATTTCACCTGTACAGTTTTTACTGTGACAGATTCTGGAGACACCTCAGTACATTTACATTTATCTCCCTCAGACGTATACATATAACAATACTGAAGTTGGTGCACTCTCTGACACTCTCTGTATATTCTGTGCTGATGCCCAGACACACCACACCGACATCAAAGAACTAGTGGAGACAAAGGCCGATTGTTGTGTTGCCTCCTGTCGCCTGGGTCTCGGCCAGAAAGATGCACTTGAACACACTGTAAAGACGACAGCCAAAGGCCAACAAGCACATACGTACATTCTGCGCCTGTGGTGGCGATAGCCTGTGTGTGTCATTAAAAAAGGGAAACTGGAAGACAAAACAGGACAGAATCAGGACACTAGTTAGCCAGTTAGCATATTAACAACACAACCTGATGTTGACAGAACAAAGGATATTTACCGTGCGCTAGTGAACAACAACACAAACAATTACAAATCGTTTCCTCTATAGAGCTCAGTGCCTAAATTAAAAAAAAATAACGTACCTAATACAACAAGTTTGTTTTGATCTTACGTCCTCTTGACTTTCTTTGTTTGTTTTTTCTTTTTTCTTTTTGTTTTCCTCACTTCCGTTTCTCTTCTCATGCGCTGAACTGAACTGCCAATCAGAGTGATTTCTCTCAGCAACAGGCTCGGGCATACCTATTGTCGATTGAACATACTAAAAAACAGCCAACTAGTACCAAGAGTATGGGACACACCATGAAAACTAAGGTGACCGATGCTCACCAACATGTCGACATCTACGTATGGCCGACTGTTGACTGTGTCAGGGCCCTTATGTTATGTTCACGTGGGCGCCAATAAAACAAGCAAGTGAATTACATGTAAAGTCAACAACTTCCCAGTGCGATGGACATGATGGACGCAATGCGAAATACACCAAATATGCTAATTAACCAGCGTAAATTAAGCAAGTAGCGCAATTTCATGTCATACGCATATTCGCGAGAGTTGAAAAATCTGAACTTCAGCGACCAATTCATGCTGCTATAGCCAATCAGCATTGAGATTCTCTGAGGACTTATGACGCCCAGGACGTACCGGCAGAAGTTCATTCATCCATTCAGTGATTTCACGTGATTTATTTGCGCATATGAAGCGACTCAACGCATAATATTCTAGCGTTCAAAATCACGCGAGTAATATTTGGTGTGAACGAAGATGAGAGTAGACATGTTACATACTGTATTCGTGCTGTTTTTGACTGGGAACTGATTAGTTCCTTATTGAAACATACTGGAACTCTTGTTTCAGTTACTTAAATATACATTATCAGGCTTAATTTTTGACTCCGAAATCATTCTTTAAGTACCTCTCATTTTCTTATCAGGTTAACCACATGTAGCTATGTTTCGTACACTGGCAGTTCTCCACTGGATCTCCCAACAGTTGGTGATGTATTGCTACCTCCATCCAATGTAAATGCTGGTAAAGAATTAATGGGTAAATCGGCAACATATTCTTATTCCAGGTCTTAAAATACCAACACTCTCTTGTGCCATTGGCGTCTGATGCACCCTTTAACATCTGTATGTGACACACAGCTGTCTCCTGGGCAAAACTTGTAAGACGTGGTTAAAGTTGTCACGGTGTGTTTAGGCAACAAAACTACTTGATTAGGTTTGGAGTGACATCAGTCCATGAGGTTATGTTTAAACAGTATTGACTTTACGTTAAAACAACATTGAGTTTTGGTATCACACAGGATACAAACAACAGTGTCCTGGGTCAAAGTCTGTGTTTGTTTGACCCAACCACCACTGCCCTACATGGACTTTCCTCACTCTTTATACAAGGTCAGTTGCTCTGAGCGTCAAATGTTGCTGCACATGGATTTACATTAGAATCAGCTGAAAGCGCAGTGCATCCCATAGAGGTGCCTTGGGGTGCCTCAGGGTCTGTGTCACGCACCAAAGGACATGACAAAGCATCAGTGTTTGAAGACCTGGAAGTGAGAACAGGCTGAAATTTCCTAAGCTGCCAAACACGTATGAAACCCCCAAAAGGCATCCACTTTATTACAGATAGTGTCATCTGAGCTCACATTAAACCATTTATCACATCACTGGACAACACCTGATCACACACACACACAGATACAAGGGGAGGAGACAAAATGGCCATAAAACAAAGAGAAAGGGAAAGTGCCGCAGAGAGAGTTGAGACAGCATGAGTAGCTAGTGTAAATGTTAACAGCATTTTTCTCAGACTTTTTCTGGGGCTGTGAGCAAAAAGGTGAGCGTGACACTCAAAGAGGGGGGAGAAATGCATTTTTGTTTCCTTCTTTACCTCCCTGAGCCACCATTGCACTGTTTTGTATAAACTAACCATGAAACATCACCAAGCTGAAACCGTCACACCACTACTTTGAGACCCTGATAATAAAAGATGTTTTAAATCTCAGTCACACTGTTTAATTTATGGCGCTGCTGTTTTATCCGCTGTCTTTTACTCCATACGGGGAGCTTAAAGGGACAAACGTGCATCATCACACGAACTTGCTCTCGCTGTCCTCCACATGTAAATATTAATTTTGCAAGCTAACTACAACATCAGCAGTTGTCATGGGCTGTGAAAGGGAAAAAACTGCTTTTCTCCAAGCAAGGGCTTTTAATTTTTAAAGGACAGGAGCACACAAGGGCTTTTTATGCTCAGCGCTGCAGTGGTGTAGTTTTAAGGGTGTTATGCGGAAAGAAAGGCAAAGTACATTTGCACAGGAACGACCGTTTTTAAACCAGCTGAATAGCTAACTAAAGAGATAACACGCTTCATGCAGGAGAGAAGCGGAGGTAGAGAAAATGCAAAGACTGTACTCTTCTACTCATGTTAGCTACAGGTTAGCCTTTAGCTGCTTTTTTGGCTAACGTTAGGTTAGATGGGTAACCTTCTGAAGTAATTAGAGATTAAGAATATTGCCTTAAGCAGAGGTAGAATAATTTTAATTAAGGATTAATTGAGTTAGCTTAAGGATCAAACATATATTAGCAAACTATTGTTAATCATACTTGGTGCCAAATATTACTCAAAATGTTTATCATGGCCTCCAGGTTAGCTTTAGCTCATAGCTCCAAGTACTCTTTTTTGCGTAGGACTTCCTGCAGTATACCGACTCAGCAGTAGTAGCTCAGCACATCAGAGGCCCCCGCGGACCCTGAGGGTCTGTCAGGGGTCAGAGTTCAGAATCGCATCCATAAGCCATGTCAGCATTGACCTTTCAAACCATGCATGCCATATCCATCTGCTTCCAGTGCTTACATTCGCTGTATCTCTTAATCGAGTCTCAAATGGCACCCTAATCTCTATCCTCCGTAGGGACACTGGACTGCTACATTTATAAGACGCCTTATAAGGGTGTGTCGGCCGTAAGCCTGTGCTGTGTTTAACGATGTTTACTCCAATAGAGCACGGGGTGCTTTTTGAGACTAGACCTCTGTCTCTCTCTTCTTACCACCATACAGCTTTGATACTCTGATATCAACAACAAATAATTGTATTATTAGTAAAAAAAAATTATTCTACTCTAAAGGTGCCACTGTGCAGAGGATGACACACTCTGTCACATATTATAGTTATTAATCTATTAATGGGGGGTTTGACTGAAAGGGAGCAGAGTTGGGAAGCAGGGGTCGTAGTCTTTGTAATATTATATTATTCTAGTTTCATTTTCTACTTTGATGTGGTTTGTGAGATTGTGTTGTTTCGATCACATCTGAAGCCTCTGACAGGAGGAGGGGGAGAGACAGTGGAGCGCTCGGACGATCTGTCGTGGACATTAACCTCGCCTCACTGGTGCCGGAGGTCGACTTTACAGTTTGCCAGCGGGACACTCAACACTGACAGTGCAATACACAATACATACATGCATTCAAAGTGAGGTTGCTATACTTCTGAGGACTTATCGGCCCGATGTACTGCAGGTAAAAGTTGTGTTACCTGGCGCAGGGACTGAATACAGAAAACAATGCGATCCAATACAGCAGTCTGTGAAAACATACTTTTATGAAGCTTGAAGACTCACAAGGGCAAAATACAGGATCAGTTTACATCGTGAGGCACTCAATTCAACCACAGCCTCAAAAATACTATATGAACTATTTGAGTCGCAATCTCTTCAAGTGTTACCAAAAAAATCACAAAAGTGATGTTTTTGCAGGACTGCCATGGATTGCATCACATTAAACATGGGTTGCTTTTGCTGTTTGCACTCCTATGTATTATTTAATGCCTATTTAGATGGTAAAAAATGTTATTACATATTACCCTCCTCCCTTTCACTGTGGCTGCAAAATCAAGTTCTCTGTCTCGGTCCTCTGTTGGCACTTTAATATTAAAGGAATACTTCACCCCCCAAATGACCCTTTGTGTATCAGTTACTTAACCTGTGTTATGTTGAATTCATGATGACAACTTTTGTTTTTCTAGCACGCCTGCAGTGAACGAAGATGAATTGAAGTCATCCGAGTCTGCATTTAACAACAGCAAATCTATATCGAAACATATGTTTACAAACTTGTACACAACTCATGCAGTATAATGCAAGTCTCATTTATCCAATCATATGCTCAAGACTTCCCAAACAGGCTGTGCTTTCCAAAACAGAAAAGTGAAACTTACCTATGCCCTTTCTAAAGCCACCCTTCATTGTCAAATATAGTAAATTTACCTCTCTGAACACGGGAGCTGCTGGTCTACCACTGACTCCATCTGGTGTTAGTTGGTGTTATTGTATGACTTTGGTGTTTTAAAGGGTTAATTCAAATTCCACAAAATCACATAACACAACAAACTACCCATAAAGGCAGTGATAGACCAGCAGCTCCTGTGTTTAGCAAGGTAAAATTACTGTTTTGTAAATGGAATCTTGTTTTGAAGAGAGCACAGTCACTTACAGTTCAGTTTCCCATCGTAAAAGAGTTGTCTGTTAGGGAAGTCCTGAGCATACGACTGGATAAATGAGACTTGGAATATACTGGAAGAGTTTATAAACTGATGTTTTGATATAGTTTTGCTGCTGGACCCCTATGACTTCAGTTTATCAAGAATCTTCTCTTTTTTGGATGCTTTGTTCACTGGAGGCTGTAAGCAAAACAAAGTTTTCCTCACAAATTCAGCTTAACACGGGTTGAGTAATTGAAACACAAATCATTGATATACAATTTGTCAGTGAAGATTTTTAGTCATCCAGGTTATGATAATCTTAAGTGCTGTCCAGTTGCCTACGACATAGCACGAGATATACAATTTGAAACTCCAAAAGTAGCCTTGAGCACACATTTTGTGATTAAATAATGATATCACCCATTTTTTTTACCTTAAAATAAACCAAAATTAATTAGAAAATGTTGCAAATTGAGATATTAATCATTTTGTATTAATAAATTAGTCTAAATAATGGCCATCCTCACCAAACCCTGACTATGAACTTACCCCTAAATGAAAAACCCTTAAAAAAAAAAAGTAAAAAATACAAAGAAATGTCCGTATTATGGATTATTTGTGTGTTGGATATTGGTCCTCATAAGTATAGAA